AAAAAATAACTAAAATAATAGTTTTTTCTTAATAAATAATAAAATGTTAAGGATATATACGTAATTTTACTATGAAAATAAATATATATATATATATAATATACGTAATTTTATTATTAAATAAAAAAAATAAAAAATATATATATATACCCAAGCTCGCGAGCCTAACGAGCTTAATATTCTGAACTCAAGCTCGAGCTCTAGTTTGACTCGAGCCGGCTCGAGCTCGACTCGAGCTCGATTAATATCGATTCGTTTGCAGCCCTAAACGTTTGCAGCCCTAAACATTTAGGACTCGACTCGATTCGTTTGCAGCCCTAAACGTGATGCAAGTCCTAAATGAATAATCAAGTTGGCCTGTAGAACATCAATTGTTGAATTGCTTAACAAGTTGAACACTGTGACTGGGAATGGGATAGACAAAAATAAGTATCGAATTAAATTGAAATGTCAATATCCCATGTCTTATACAGTCAATTGCATCAAGTATTTTGCTATTCCAGTTGAGGATGATGAAGGGTTGGATATCGTGTCGGATATGCTGTCAAACTTTCCACCTCAAAGAGTTGTTGAACTGTATATAGAGAAGGAGGCCATCAAAATTGCTGTGTCTTCTCATCAAGGTGCAGTTGATGAGACTGAATTACTGAAGAGATTTAGGGTGGATATTTCCTACAAGAAGGCACTGATGGAGGGGCAAAAAGCTTTTGTCCTGTTAAATGGAAACTGTATAGATATCTAAATGCATTGCAACAGTACAACCTCGCGACTGTTGTGGAGTGGAGGCATGATCAATGATGGAGCCAAGGGGGCAGAAGGGGGCCATGGCCCCCCTAAGTTTTGAAAATTTTAATTCATAATATGTAAATATGTGTGTAAAATAAAATTGCCCCCCCATAAATTTTTACAATTTTAGTTTATATTATGAGAGTTTATATATATATATATATATATATATATATATATATATATGAATTAGTCATCGAGTGGATATATTTCTTGCAACAATTGATTATCAATTGAAAGAGTCACATAGCAGATTTAATGATCATACCGTGGAATTGCTTATTTTGAGCACTGCTTTAGATCCTAGAAATGGATTTATGCTGTTCAAAATTGATTATATTTGTAAACTTGCAGGAAGCTCTATCCGAATGATTTTATGGAGCAAGAACTAGTACATCTAAGAATAGAACTTCAACATTTTGAGCTCGGCATTCCAAATCATCCTGAATTGCAAGAATTATATGGTATTCATGAGTAATGTCAAGGCTTGGTGAAGATAAGAAAATCAGTGATATATCATCTTATTGACAGATTGATTAGACTTGTTCTAACTCTTCCTATATCAACTGCAACTACAAAGCAGGCATTTTCAATTATGAAAATAAGGATAAATTCTTAGTTTATGATGAAAAAAAAAAAGGAATTCTACAACGAGGGCGTTTCTTGGAAAGTATTCTACAAATGGGGTGTTCGCATTCCGGGAATGCGAGCTCAGTGAGAGCTCACCGAGCTCGTACTCAGGAGCGCCAAGACCCCATTTCGAAAAAAAAAAAAAGAGAAAAGTGAGTCAAAGAAGCAGAACGCAATATCGAAACATAGCTGTCGAACAGCAAAACAAATAATTCGGAATACTCGAACAGCAAAACAAAGAAAACAGAGCTGGGTTCTGCACATCGAAGCATCCAAAGACCGGAGCTGACCGGAGCATCCAAAGACTGGTTCCGTGAGTGCCGCTTCCCAAAATTTGCCAGCATTCCCGTCCCATTGCGACTCTCAAACAGCATAAAGGTGAGGCTTTTCCACTTGCAATGCCTCACATATAGCATTTTAAGTTTAATTAATACTTGAATGCTTGAATCCAAGGGCAAGTTCAGATTTGTTGTGAAATTTGGGTTTAAATTTGATGTGGGTTGTGCTTATTTTTGCAATTTTTGTGGTGGATTTGAGGATATACGTTACATTTTTCGAAATCTTGCAATTTTTCTATTTCCAATTTGTTGCAGTTTATTTGCAGTTTCTGCAATTAGTGCAGAAAAAACATGATCCGAGGTCGGATCCGACTCAACACAGACAGATCCGACCTCGGATCCTTTGAGGATCAAAGGCGAAATTGGGTGATACGACCTCGGATCCATAGTTGTTCACTCAGATCCGAAGGCTCGTCTGATCATCTGTTGAGACGGATCCGAACCCTGTTGGATCCGAAGGATACCAAAAATAATCCGAGCTCGGATCCTCGCATTTCATAAATACGAGGTCTGGTTTTTTTTTATTTTTTTTTGGATTTCGTTGTTCGAAAATTCGAACTGCGTGAGTTCGCATTTGCTAAGTGCGAAGACCCTTTGGACGGAATCCCATGCTCAAAATGCCCCATTTGTAGAATTCTTTTAAATTTCATCATAATTTTCGAAATTTCTCTGTCATCATAATTTTTTTAAAAATGTCTATTTTTTTGTGTTGAAGAAGATAAAACAAAAAAAAAAGAAAAAAGGGGCAAGTTCCATTTAAAATAGAAAATGTGTTCTAATTAAGGGAATTAAACATAAGATGCAAATGAGAAACGAATCTGTCTAGGGCAGCTATGGGTAAATCGTACATTAGAGTTGTATTCCTAGAAAAGATTTTAGAAAAATAAGGGCCTTGAACTAAGATGGAAAAATAAATTTTATTGAAATTACAATATATGTTAGCAAGTTCCGAAATTTGATGCCGAGCATTGAAGTTGTCTTGGATGCATTTCCGTTGCTTTAACAGTCTTAACATGCCATTTAATTTTTTGTTATATACATTTAGACACTATTGTCGTACTTTAACAAGTGTATATAAATATATTTGACAAATACTTATTTTTTACTAATGTAGTTATCAAAGCCATTTACAATAATTAGTACTTTAATAAGCCCTGTATAATTTGAAATGATAATTTTACAATAATTAGTACTTTAATATGTCTTGTGTAATTTAAAATGATAATAATTAATCATTTCTTACTAGTTTAATGTACAAAATAATTCTCTAAAAGGCTAAGCACATAGTAAACAAAGTCTCTAATACTGAATGTGGGGGGCAAGGGTTATGTACCAAATTTGGGTGGCAAGTGCCCACCCAAATTCTCTAATTTCTCTAATACTGAATGTGGGGGCAAGGGTTATGTACCAATAATTCACTAATTTCCGTTTTTGTTTTTAAAATTTATTTTGCAGCTATTATTTTTTGTCGAAACACTATCTACATTGAACATTGTATGTTTTGTAATTGGAGTTTAGAAATTTTATTGACATTATGTAGTTTATAGATTGGAGCTTTTGAATTTCATGGATATTTGGATTGTTTGACAGGGAGTTTTAGCCCATTTATAAGGGAGACTCTGTCAAATTTTTTGTAGAGTTTTCTTTGTGAGGGCAACTGACTATTAAATGGATAAACCCTGTTTGGATTGGTTGGCAGGGAGTTTTAGTCTATTTTTAGGGGAGATTCTGTCCAAATTTTCTAAAAATTTCGTTCGGAGGTTTAGGCTATTCCTATCGTCATTTATAGCATATTTCATACCTGTTTTCAATTTTTTCATAAACATTTGGATCGAAATTAGTCTATTTAATAGTTCCAATTTCGACCTAGAGTCCACCCTCTTTCATTTGTTTGGGCTCTTGGACTACTAATTCTAATTTATTGTCTCCAAAATAGGGATTCATTTCACAGACATGTCTGTATAAAGACTTCTGCGGGTAAACCTATACTGAGGAGGAGAAATACATTACGAGGGTGACTTTGTTTGTTATTTGCCTCGTACTTCCAACCGGACATTCACTTTGAGGCATAGAATTGGATACGGGGAGTTGGTTGACAGGATTTACCACTATATTGGGGTCGATAAAGGGATGTTTAAGCTGAAATTGTTTCTTCGTCAACCGTTTGAGAGTTCCAAATATACTGTTTCCTCAGTGGTGGATGATGAAACTCTTGATGTAATGTATGATCTTTGGATCGAAAGAGTTTCATACATGGCGGAGATTTATATCGAGAAGGAAGAAATCGTCCAAATGCCTGTAGTTAATAGCGTATTCACTGGACCAATAGGTAATGTTGGTCCAATGATGTCGCTTCTACATGCATTCATGGATCCAACAAAGTTTAACTTCGGTTCTAGTTCAGTCGTTCCAGAGACTTCATCGGCATGTCACTATATGCATGATGATCAATCTATGGATTCATTAGAACCAAGGCTCACATCATGGTCCATGGGTGCCCAGGAATATTTTCATGGCCTGGATTCGATTCCAAGTTTTGGAGATCCAGGGCCATCATGCCATATTTCTCCACATGGGATCGAGTCTAACCCTAGTCTAGGTTGCCGCAGTTCAGCTGAAGATGATGTATATGCTAGTGGGCATGATAGGCTCCTTGCCTCTGAAGAAGATGATCCGGAAGAAGATGTGGAAGAGATTGAAGACTCGGAGTCGCAAGATGTGTCTGGTAGTGACTCGGATGATGAGCATAAAGGTGGGGGTTTAAGAGTAAACCTCGATACCCAACAACCCTTTATTGGGTATCGAGTTGCCAACACAGAATGTGGAGATATCAGACGCAATAGCACAGCTGGCAACTCTGCATATGTTCCAAGAGGAATGACATTTTTCTCCAATCTTGGGAGTATAGATGATGATGATATAGAAGATGAGGATGGATTGGAGTGTATTGTAACATTCAGTGAGGAGAATAATAATATACGTCTCCATATGAGATTTGAGAGTAAGAAACAGCTCAGCCGGGCAGTTAGGATGTAGTCTATCAATCAGAATAGGGAGTTCAGAGGTATTGAGAGTAAGAGTAACACGTGATCTGCTAAATGCAAATCATCAATTGAAAGAACTCCTTCCACTTCAACCGCACCATCGTATCTACCATGCGACTGGTGTGTTAGAACCGTAAAGAAAAAAACTCATGGAATGTGGCAAATTACAAAATGGGTCAATGACCATAACTGCTTGGGCGACATGATTAGAAATAACAATACAAGCCTGACGGCTTTTATTATTTCATGGCACATCCTCCGTACCATTGAAGATGACCCTGGATTAAAGGTCAAGAGCATACTAAGTTTCGTTAAAGAAAACTTGAAGGTTGATGTGTCTTACAAAAAAGCCTGGTATGCCAGACGTAAAGCAATTGAACTTGTATTTGGATCTTGGGAGGCGAATTTTGCCGAACTACCACAGTATCTCGATGCCCTGGTGCAATCCAATCCAAGCACCGTGGTTGAGTGGTCACATCATTCAGATAGTTTGGATCGAGTTAAGACTTTTAAGTATGTATTTTGGGCCTTTGGACCGGCTATTGAAACATTTCACATGTGCAGGTCGGTTATATGCGTTGATGGCACTCATTTGCGTGACGAATACAAGGGCAAACTCCTTGTTGCAGTCACTCAAGATGCGAACAACAAGATTCTGCCAATTGCTTATGCCATAGTGGATGAGGAGACGATTTCCAGTTGGTCGTGGTTCATGGAACAATTAAGATATAATGTGGCACTTGATCGACATCCTATCTGTGTCATTTTCGATCGTCACAATGGTATAATATATACCATGACACACTTTGACTATTGGGAGGAACCTTTAACCTAACATAGATTTTGCCTGCGACATGTTAGGAGCAATTTGATGACACACTTCAAAGGTTTACAGCTTAAAAAATTGTGTTGGGCAATGGGAAGGGCAAGACAATTACGCAAGTGGCGGATGTTCAGAAGAGAACTACGAAACATGTTTCCAGATGCTTGGAATTATCTGTCAGCCATTAGTCCAGAAAAGTGGTGCCTAACACACGACGATAGCCGTCGTTGGGGTATTCTAACTATCAACATATCCGAAAGCTATAATAATGTTTTGCGCGGAGCACGTCATTTGCCAATTCGTGCATGCATTGACATGGCATTTCATCGGACAGTTGCATTATTTAGAACGAGAAGGGAAGATGCTTCACATTGTCGCAATCCTTTTCCCCCAAAGATATGGCGGCGTTTTAAGAATACTGAGCTGAAGACAAGTGCCCACAGAGTCATTGAGTTCGATGGCCCATCGGGCGTATACAAGGTTATCACAGGGCGGCGTGTCGATGGTAAAGGAGGCAATACGCAAACCATCAGGTTTTTTTATAAGACATACTCTTGTGGAAAGTGGCAGAATTATCGGCTTCTTTGTTCACACGCTTTGGCGGTATGCAGGAATAGATGTGACAATTCGGGATTGCTTGTGGATCAGCAGTTTCCAAAACAAGGTGGGTCGTGCAGTATTCAGGGAAGTTTAACCTACTGCCGCATCAAGATACTTGGCTCCATCTTGGGTGGGAACTGCAGGCAGACAGGAGCAAATTTGTTGCACGTCGGGCAGGGCGGGTTCGAGCTAGCAGAATTCGGAATGAGATGGATAAAAGGGATCCAGACGAACGAAGAAGATGTCGAAATTGTCATCAAATGGATCACAATAGGAGAAATTATCCGAATTATATGTCTTGATTTGATCGAGTCCCTAGAAATTTAAAACTCATGTCAGTGCATTTTTTTTTTTTGTCGTGGGGTTCATTCTAGTTCATTTCTGTTCGATTCTGGATTTATTTTAAACAATTATATTAGTCACTTTCAATGTTCATTTGTCAAATGCATGTTTCGTTCTGTACTATGATAAGTAGTGAAATAACCGGTTTAAACGTGCATGCTTCGTTCTGTACTATGATAAGTATTCAAATAACCAGTTTAAACGTGCAGCCTATCAGTTTTATTCTTTTATCGCTAAATCTCCTATCCATTGATTTGGGAATATATCTGCTAAAGGAATGCTCGGATGGTGTGTTATATGTGTTAATGCTCTTGCATATGCAGGATATGGTATTTTTTATGTTTGATTGACAGGGAGTTATGGCCGCTTTATAGGGGAGACTCTACCAATTTTTTTTTAAACTTTTAAAATATGACTACAAATAGATTGCTGCAGTATATGAATACATAGAGGGATAACAAATGTTTCTCAAAAAAAAATAACTGATAGGCATGGAGTTTTAGTCGATTTATAAACTACATATATGGTCAAAATTTGCTAAAAAAAAAAGTCGTGACCGCGATTTATAGGTCAAAATTGTATACACAAACTTTTGGGTTTTACTTATGCATAACTCATGGAATTTAATCAATGCAGATATTTGCTTGGGATTATGACCGACACTCCTATCCCTGCAGGCCTACATTCAGGACAATACGTGCACGACATTATATTGGCCGGAACTGCACACCGGGCACATTCCATTTTTCACGAACATATTGAGGGTAATCAGTTAGATGTCAGATGGTGTGACAGAGAATTTTGGGAGCATACGCCTATTCCTGATCGGGTTTGTCATTATATTGCCTTGGCTGGATTTGAGGGGGTGCTTGAGAGTGGATATCAAATGGTTGATCATTCTTTGATCACAAGTTTAGTGGAGAGATGGCGGCCCGAGACGCACACATTCCATTTACCTGTTGGAGAGGCTACCGTAACATTACAGGATGTAGAGGTGTTGTGGAGGTTGCGCATCGATGGTCCACCGGTTATAGGGGTAGACACATACCGCAGCATTTAGGAGTAGGGAGTCATTTGTGAGGAGCTCATTGGATTTTCTCCTGCAGTTGGATACTTTGATGGACAGAGGCTAAAATTAGGATGTTTAACAAGAGCCTTGGATACAGAGTTGCCACTCAATGCTTCAGATGCCAAATGTAGACAGCGTGCGCGCATCTACCTCTTACTGATATTAGGTGGACATTTATTGTCCGATAAGTCCGGCAACAAAGTCTCTTTGTTGTATCTTCCATTACTGCGGGACTTGGAAACTGTTGGGCAATATAGTTGGGGTAGTGCGTGTTTGGCGACTCTCTATCGGTCACTTTGTGATGCCACGAATCCTGTCAAATTGGCTATTGCCGGTCCATTAGTTTTGCTACAGGTACATTGCACCCAATAGGGACTCACATCTTGGATTTTTTGCATTTTATCATTTTTGCAATTTTAACATTGATTCTAATTTTCTAACAGCTCTAGATTTGGGAACATATACCAACCATGCGTCCGGACCGAATCGCGCCGTTGGAGCATTACCCTGGTCCATATGGAGCTAGGTGTGCGTTTCGCCCTTATTTCGGTCGTTTTAACGACATTTGTTATCGAAACAAGTTTAATTTGTTCTAAACAGGTTCCTACTTTATTAAATATATGTGGAATAATGACTTGGACGTACACAGAGTTGTTAGGCATGTTGTGCCCGCATTCCGAAATCAGTTGACAGGCCTGCGTCCTGAAGAGGTATTGTACATATGTCCGGACAATAGAAATTTTTGAAATAGGTGCCAGTAGTCTTTTCTACCAATTTCTTGTCAACCCAAAGCATAAGTTTGTCATATTGCATTTTGTGAATGGAAATTGAGTTTGTTGGCAAGGAGTTAACCTCCAGTTATAGGGGAGACTCTGCCGAATTTTTTTTAGAAATTCAAAAATTTTTTAATTGACCGCAGACTAGCACTTTTTTCATGAAATTGTCCAATTTGAATATTAGGAAGTTTTATTATTTCTTAATAGAAAAAATGGAACAACTTTGATTTTATATTTTTTTCAGTTCATATGGCAGCCATATTCGGAGGACGTTCTCGCTTCTCTTCTTGCGTATTATACTGCAAGTCGGGACATTTGGAGGTCCGTAACATATCTTATTTGCTGGGATGTAGTTGAGCCGCACCTCCCTCATCGGGTTATGCGGCAGTTTGGGTTTCATCAATCCCTGCCTGATATGAGGTTGACGGATAATCAGGCAGCTCTACATTCTCTAGATCGTCGTGATAGGGCGAATCAAGACTGGAGCACCATGCATAGACAATATATTGATATTTGGACTGATCGACATGTGCATGTACAAGATGGCACTGTAATTGAAGATACTACATATCCATCGGATGAGTATGTTCAGTGGTATCGGGAGCGGACGGTGATTTATATTTCAAATCCGAGTCGATTTCCCGCTTTCCCAGAGGGCTTTCAGGGTGATAGCGCTAGGGCACAATATCTTGTAAGTTTATTTCCAACCCACTTTTAATAATCACTTTGAGTTTGCTCACTTTTTAAACTATTTTTTACCACAGTATCTCCTTCTTATTCTTATATTTGTTTCTCCAGAGCGATGCCATGTCTTGCATGTATTTCATGGCACAGGATTCTCTTGTAGTTAGTGATGAACAACACAGCGAATATTTTCAAAAGTTGAGGGACTTTGCATCCACATCTTTGCATCATGTAGGAGAGTCACGCCGACTTGCATTTCGCCCTCCACACGTACCACAGGAGATTCCACTATACCCTGATCCATGTCGTGTTCAGCGAGCTCCTAGAAATACCCACGGAAGTCAGCATGGCGGTGGGCGACGTCGTAAACCCCGATCACCAGAACCCGCCATACAAACTGGATTCCATGGAGGTTCGATGGCTACAGTTTACCAAGCTGGCGCATCTACTTTTGTCACACCTCAGACCGAAGTCATGCATGAGAGAGGTGTATCGATTGGCCATTCTAGGTCCCCTGTGAAATTTCCAGAGTTTACGCCCGATAGGGACTCACATCGGCATACTTCTGAGCAATGTCAAGGAGGTGAAGGCACAAGCACTCAAATTCAAGATGCTACACTGTTTACACATATTACTCAGGTCCATACAGTAGTACCAAACCAACCATGTCAAAACCAAAGAATACCCAAACCAACAACATGTGGTACTCATGGAAAACTTGGGCAGCATTGATTGCACGCTACTTATATTGTATTGTATAAATAACCTAACTTATGGATTACATACTTTTTTTGTGACATTTTATATATATTCTAAAATTTCGCGAATACGAGTGGAACAATGCCATCGCGTATATCTTAGTTCTCATTTTATATGAGTACTCTTTTAAACAAAATAAAAAATGTAGGTTATATGAGTTCTCACTTTATATGAGTACTCTTATGGATTATACTAACCTCTCCTCTATTTTATACACTGTAAATTAGTTACATGTCGGAACTTCCATCTTGAAGGTGCAATTGAAAAACAAGTGTAAAAAAAGGGAGGTTTTATAACCTAACTTCGCTCTTCACATTGTTTAGAATTGCCAAGCATACATACAATGTTGCATTTTCAGTATATTCAGGTGAGTTTTGATGATAACATGTTTATAAATGCTCATGAACTCATTTGATGTGCATAAATGCCCAAAAGTGCCATTTTGGTGTAACAATGCAAGAAAATGATCAAAGAACCTCACCCCCCGATTTTCATTGAAGATGTGTTTGATGTGTTTTGAGAAATTGGATATTGTATTTTGGGTATATTACATATGCGTGGGAGGTTAGAATTGATAAAAAGTTAGTCCAAAGCGTGTTTTGGAATTGGCCGGAAAAGGAAGAAAAAGTTTGAAAAATTGCGGTTTCTGCAATTAGTGCAGAGAAATACAGATCCGAGCTCGGATCCGAAAAACCCAGATGGATCCGACCGCGGATCTTTTATCCGAGCTCGGATCTAAGAAATTCCAGACATATCCGACGGCTCGTCTGTGCTTCTGTCGGTGAGGATTCGAGCCCCTGTCGGATCCGAGGGCTTTCAGAACGGATCCGTCCTCGGATCTGTTCGCGATATGAATGGAACCGCGGGCTCGATTCCTCACTTTTCAGCTTTCTTCTCCTTCTCTGTCACCGAAACCCTAACCCTCCTTCACCAATCTTCCATTTTGCCCATTAATCCTCTGAAATTTTACCACAAAAAGGGAGGAGCGCACTCCTTCGCCCTCTTCAAACAACAAAAAGGGAGGAGCTCGGATCTATATTCAACCCTCGGATCTGTCTTTCTCTTCAGCAAGTGGCACAGCCGTTTTCCTATACCTTTCTCACAACTTTTCCAGCTATTTTGAGGTACAGAAATCGGTGGCACATGCTTCTGCAACAAAAGAGAAGACCAAATGAGTTGTAGACAAAAGAAAATATCATATCTTTGATTCGGCTACTGACAATATTAGAGATAGCACTCAGGGTTTGAGGCTTTTAGGATTCAGGATTTTAGGGTTTCAGAGATCAAGAATTAGTGTTTTAGGAGAATAGCACTTTCGGGTTTATGGTTGTTGGATTTTAGTTTGACAATAGTGTGTCTTGATTAGAACTTTAGATTTTTAATTAAAATAGTAATCCTATCGTGCAGCAAAAATATTTTTTAATGGATTTTAATAAACTCAACAACCTTGATTTAATGTTTTAGGGTTTACAAGAATTTGGTTTCTAAGATTTACGATTTAGTGTTTTACGGCTTTAGCACTTAGGGTTTTAGGACTTTTGCATGACAATAACTTTGTCTTGATTATCGCTTTATATTTTTAATCAAAATAATAATCCTGCCAACAATTGTAAAAGGTAAAACACGCAAGATTTAATCGCTAGATCTTTGATTTAATTTTTTTTCTTTTCCTTTTCAACTACCAAACAAATAACATGCACTTCATAAAAATAACTTATATAATTTTTTTAAATAACATTGCGTTATGAAATTTCTAAAATTACAGTTGAAATTGTAACATATATTAATGACTATTAACTATTAGATTCTTATAACTAATATTCATCGGTGTCAACAAATAAATACGATTCATTAACAACAAAGGAAAATTAGAATTTGATCAAAAAAATTTATTTGATAAAAAAGGAAAAAAATTAATATTTTTTTCATAAAAAATAGTCAACATCTTACATGTTAACAATTTCATTCTATTTTTACATTGATCTATGAAATAGAAAGAACTATGCATGTGTACTTTTTCCACCATTTAAATGTATTATAATAAAATAACGTATTTCCAACCGTACAATTACCAATTTTTTTATTATAAAAGAAATATGCATGTGTAGTAAATTATATTAAAAAGATTATTGTGAATATGATTTTTTTTTTGAGCACATATTTGATGACTTTAGGCACATGCAAGTTTTAAAATAAAAAAAAATTATTCCTCTGCTAATTACAGATTTTTAAATAAAATTTCTCTAACATTTTTCCGAAATATAAGATTTTAGTAGAGATTTTAAAATAAGATTTTACTACCAACAGCATTTTAGTAAAGGCAAATTCTACAAAACAAACAATATTTACATTTAATTTTATATTTTTTATGGAGCTCGTAAATTTCATTTTAAAATTTTTTTCTAACAAGTTTGAATTTAATTTTCTGCAAGTCATACTTATAAATGCGAAATCTAACAAAAAAGTTAAATACAATTTTGGAGGTCAAATTTATCAAATGCGAGCTATTTGCAAAATTTAAAAAAAAACATTTAGGAGCTCGCATTTAGCTCTTACTATTTTCTGGAAAAAATTCTCTAGCTCCCAAAAAAAAAGGAAAAAAAATTAAATTAGAGCTCGCATTTGCGGAATGCAAGCTCAATAAGTAGAGCTCGCATTCCGCGAATGCGAGCTCTATTGTAACCTCGCATTCCTCAAATGCGAGCTCAGTGGAGCTCGCATTTCACAAATGCGAAGACCCCCGGACGGAATCCCTTGCCAAAATCACCCCTTTTGTAGAATTTTTTTTAAATTCATCACAAAATTAGAAATTTCTCTGAAAATAATCAAGACAAAGCTCCGAAATAAGATGGAAGATAATTTCTTGAATGATTGTCTAACTGTGTATATAGAAAAGGAAGTTGCTGAAAATTTTAGCAGTAATTCAATCATAGATGAATTTAGTTCTATGAAAGAGCGTATAGCTCAATTTACTTCTAAGAAAAGATGTTGAAATTTCAAAGTACGTTAACATAACTTTTATCTTTTTTCAATTGAAAATAGTTACATTTATATTACATGGTTATATATATATATATATATATATATATATATATATATATATTGCACAGGTGACATATTGGAGAGCATCTTCTTATAATGTGCAAATTGGATGGTTTGTGATGTTATAAGATATTTAATCAAAAGTTATTTTTTTGTTAGTTTTTGTTATGACTGTACCGCATATTTATGAATAGACATACCTTTATAATTAAATTTAATATTTGATATTTTTAGATGTCATATATTTAAATAGAAGAAAATTATTTTGAACATAATATATTAAGATAATTTTATTAGGAAAAAATTTTGGCCCAAAAAAAAATCCTGACTCCGTCACTGCTCGGGACTGTTGTGGAGTGGAGGCATGATCAATGATGGAGCCAAGGGGGGCAGAAAGCATGGGGGATTTCAAGGTGTTTAAATCCGTGTTTCGGGCTCTTAAACCTTCAATAGACGGCTTCACACACTAAAGTCTAAAGTAAGAACAGCTGCTTCTTTAACGTCGCATTTGGGATGCCATACACTTAAAACAACAAGGAGTATTGATAATCAGAGGGATCAGGCAAATGTGGTGAAATTGAATGAACGATCTTGTTCCTGTGGGGAGTTTTGATATTTACAAGATCTCATACTATTAGAATTTGCAGGATTCTACGAAAATGTTCTTTTGATTTGATTGACTGTTTCTATACATCTACTGAGATGTTTCAAACATATTCAGGGTGTTTTAACCCAATCCTTCCAGAGGGACACTGCCAACTTTGATGGTCATGAGCACAACTGTGCTAACTTTGATGGATGGAGAAATACAGCTAGGTTTTGCATGGTGTTATACAAAGGCAATCTTGGGTACTTTTGCTGTATGTTTGTGGGTGGTGGTCTTTGCTAGCTTGAAGCCTTGAAATGAATACTTTTGTCATGTAAAGCAAGTATTGCAAAAGTAGATGAAGCTTCACATTATGTAGGTAATGAATATTATTACTGCATCTTTTTGTGTTTATAAAATCATGTCTTTCCCCACACTTAGTGTTTATTATTGTCGTTGTAGAAGCTGTGTTTCTAATTTTTAGCCATTTGTTTATCCATTGTTATGACAATACTGTTTGGATGCAGAACTCACACGTATTTCTGAGCATCATTCATTTCTCACTATGCTTTTATGGACCTTCAGGTTTTAAAGTGAACTACCCAAGCCTTCCATTTTTAATACTCCCTCCGTCCCATTGATAGTGTCATACTTTTCTTTTTGGGCTGTCCCAAAATATTTGTCATGTTTGACATTTCAAACTATTTTAAGCTATGAATTTCCATTTCTGCCCTCCATTAATAGTGTGATAATGCATGTGCTAGTTGGCCCACAAATTGATGTGTGGTCCCAAAGGACATCCAAATATTCCAACTTGTATCATATTTGACTTTCGGCTCCAGCAACAAAGTTCCGACTCCAGCCAAATTCATCATCAAGAATGTGCACATGGCTCTTTTAAACTTCAATTGCAAACTGATTTTGTTATCAAGAGGATCATTTCGATTTTTTGCAGGAAATAGAATATCGAGATGATTTAATTAGTGATTTTCTTTTGAAAGCTTTCAATTTTTAAATTATTTTCATACGCACTAATTTGTTAAGAATGATCAACTTTCACAAAATAAATTCATATTGAAAGCAAGAAAATAGTGTAAAAAATAGGTGAATAATTTTAGATTGACCCAAAAACTAAATGAGCAAAATAATAAGGCATGTTACTCTACTTGGAGAAAAAAAACTACACTCACTACCAAATTTAATTTAAACGTAGTCTATGGAAGTGTCAGTTCCTCTCTTTTTTTTTAATGTTTCAAAACTCAAAAATGCAAAAACAGATATTCTACCACCAAATAGCAAAAGAATGCAAACCAATATGCACTATTTCCCCTTTATAGAATAATGCTATTGACAGTTTCAAAAACTCCAACAAAGTAGTGTTTCAATGTTTATACATGTAGGGGTGTTTCGCGAATCGAGCCGCTCGCGAGCCGATCGCGAGCGGCTCGAATACGAGCTCGACTCGAGCTCGTCAATATCGAGTTCGAGTCGAGCTCGAGCCAATTAAATCGATCTCGAGCTCGAGCTCGAGCTCAAAAACATTAAGTTCGTCCGCTCGCGAGCTCAATTATATATTTATTTTTTATTTTTTATTTTTTATTTAATAGTAAAATTACATATATATCTCTAATATTTTATTATTTGTTAAAAAAATTATTATTTTATTCATTTTAAAAATAAATATTTATTTTTTATTTTTTTAAAAATAATTATTATTATTATTATTTTATTTATTTTTTAAGCTCGAGCTCGAGCTCGAGCTCGACTCGAATTTGACTCGAGTCGAGCTCGAGCTTGATATTTTGAGCTCGTCGAGCTCGAGCTCGAGCTCGAGCTTCACAAAATTAACTCGAGCTCGGCTCGTTTAGCCAAAGCTCGGCTCGAGCTCGACTCGTTTGCACCCCTATACATGTACATAGCTTCACTCAGCATTGCACATTTTCCCTTTTGTACAAAAATCAGCACTACTACTACTAACGTCAAGCTAACTTGACTGAGCTATTCTAAAATCTTGTAAAGTGAAATAAAAGCAGTCAATGAAAAACCACTAGTACATAAAAGTGCTTCTATATTCTTTGCCCAATCAAAAGCTTGCACCACAAAATCAAAAGGGTTGGATTGCTTGACTTCAACCATCTGCCAAAAGATGAGATAGGACACAATTTAGTGATAAACAACAAATAAAGATGCTCTAGAGCAAAGTGAACAAGAATAGCTAGACAAATGAACATTGAGTACATGTACATTTTGCACATTAGAACACCCATACCATTTTGTTCAAAACACATGATTAGTAAAGTTTAAGTACCTACAAATATGAAAATAAGGAACACTAGTTAGTTTAAACAACCATACACACAAGAAATTAGAGATAAAAAAATCTTTAAAAAAAAAAGCTTTATAAAATCTTACCTGTCCAATGAAGATAATCATGCTTGCATATGACTTAGAACTTGATTCACAAGTTCTTTTTCACATTCTATTTGCAGTGGAAGACAACTTTCTTTCATTAAATGGTGCTTCCCAATGTGTGGCACTTTATAGTTATTTCCCCCAAGATTTTTCATCACCTCTACCATACATGATTGCAATGTTAAGAAAACATTGTTTAGACTTTCACTTGATAATTCATCAAATGACTTTTCCACAGCAAGAATTAGCTCATCAATTGACAAGGGTGCTTCTTGATGTTGCAAGGATTGTATAGCTCTAAAATATCCCAAGTCAAGAACATTCATGTCCGGACTGTTAGGAGGCTGAAATGACAAGTGAATATCAAATCCATCTCTAGAAGCAGCTTCAATAAATACCGGATCAGTGGGATTAATATGTGGTTTTGCATTATCCTGTTTGATCAAAATTTCAGTAACACTACCACCATCCCGTGGCCATTTAGCATGTATTGCAGGTAGGGGTGCAAACGAGCCGAGCTCGAGTCGAGCTTTGGCTAAACGAGCCGAGCTCGAGTTAATTTTGTGAAGCTCGAGCTCGAGCTCGACTCGAGTCAAAGTCGAGCTCGAGCTCGAGCTCGAGCTTAAAAAATAAATAAAATAATAATTATTATTATTATTTTTAAAAAAATAAAAAATAAATATTTATTTTTAAAATGAATAAAATAATAATTTTTTAACAAATAATAAAATATTAGGGATATATATGTAATTTTACTATTAAATAAAAAATAAAAAATAAAAAATAAATATATAATTGAGCTCGCGAGCGGAGCTTAATGTTTTTGAGCTCGAGCTCGAGCTCGAGATCGATTTAATTGGCTCGAGCTCGACTCGAACTCGATATTGACGAGCTCGAGTCGAGCTCGTATTCGAGCCGCTCGCGATCGGCTCGCGAGCGGCTCGATTCGCGAAACACCCCTAATTGCAGGCAAAACCTGTTCAATTAAATATCTCCTATATACTTCCTTGGTCACTAACAATATTGGCTTAGTTTCTAATGTACCTGCCATACGATTTTTACTACTCCTCTTTGCTGGTTCTTTGAATACAAAAGGAAAAATCCCAATTTTCCCATCAAATGTTGGGTTACCAGAGCAGTCAAAACGTGGTCGAGCAACAGCAGCTAGGAACATAACTTTCACAATGAACTTTTTGCTCTTACATGTCCTAAGAGGTTCTTCTTCTTGAGGATGAAGATAATATTTTTTACATTCTTTAGTCATGTAAAACCACTTTTCATCAATATGCACAACATTGAACATACTCATAAATGTTGGATTGCTGTTGAGACTTTCTGGTTCAAGCATTGACAAGCAAAAGTTAAGCCTTACTTGCTTATTCTGATCTGTCAATTGTGGTTTGAGTGCATTTGAGTGTGGCCTTATAGCACCTTCTTTAATTCGTCGGTGAAGGGTTGATTTGGACACTTTCATTTCACTGGAAAGTGACCTGATGTTTGTCCGACGCCGGAGAGGAATTGCCATGATCAAAGTAAAATCAATATCCACTCGTTTTCTTCCGCATCTTTTAGAAAATCTGCGTGATACATCAACTCTTCCATCTGTAGAAGTAATTGCTGCTAGCTTCCAAATTCTCTGAACTGTCCTAACACTTGTTTTAAATAGGCTTGCAATGTTCCTGATGGTTCCCCTTTTCAATTTACCGCCATTACTTTCCTGTAATAAAGCTTCAAAAATCATTTGCCTTTCTTGATTAGTCAATCTCTTTGTAGAATTATTAGTTTCAACATCATTAAAAGTATCCATATTTCTTTTAAGAATCACCTTTGAAACATGGTGTAAAAAAAAAGGAAACAGAGTGTTAAAACAAAACAAACGGACTGCATATATAGAGGTACAAATCAGTGTACAATTCCATTAAATATTTTAAAATAGGCATTTCAAGACTTATTTTTGGAGTAATCCGCCAAAATCCAAATTTTCAGTAAATAATTTGGCGGCAAATCAATCTTTAAGAAATTATAGACAAAATAATCAATAAATAAACATTACAAAAGTTTAAAAGATTCAGCCTTTCTTACATGAGAAAAGAGAAAAAAACCATTAAAAAGAAAGAATAGAAGACAGTTAACTAACCTTTTAATCTCATTTGTTATCAACGATGGATTAGCAATCAACTTCATATCCTTCCAATGCTTCTCTCTTGAATTGGAGCACCAATATTGTAATCAAAGGTGAAAACTTTCAAGTGAATATGGAGTATGAAAAGAGGGAATTTGTAGTTATTCCAGAGAAATTATCGTAGCTTAAATTTGCAGCAATTGAAGAATGGCTAACGACGGAGAATCAGAGAAGATTTTAGTAGTAGGCGGTGATGAATGTCTGCTAGAAGAAGGAAACAGTTTCTGTGGCAGCAATTGATAAGGAAACGGTTTTTGTGGCTGAAACAAAAGATTGGTTTTTGGTGGGTCCCATTTTGACCCATTTGCTTTGGATGAAGAAGATTTTGATAAGGAAATGAGCTTTTGTTTTTGGTAGCCGAAACAATGGAATGCCTTTGATGGGTCCCTCTTTGACCCATTTATTTCTTGAGTCTGTCGGTGAATGTGAAGGGCAAATTTGGAACCCATGGGTTTAAAAACAAGTGGATTTTACTGTGCATAAAAAGCGCTGCTTCCCAAGCGCGACAGACTTTAAGGGACGGAGGGAGTAGCAGGGAAGAAAGAAAAATTGGGATTTAGAATTACAAGAACTGTCACAGTTGCAGTAGAGTATTGTTTAAATTCCATTATTGCTAGATCATCCATATAATGGAATTCCCAAGGGAAAAGTTTTCTTTTGAAATTCCCAATTCTATGCAGTATACTCTCATGCCTTAACCAGAATCTTGTCTAAACAAAATGCAGATGTTTAAAAGGTTAAAAATTTTGTACTTTCTTGAAATTTCATTTTTCATTTAATACTTTTGACATTGAATTTTGGGGAAGGAATATATCCTAAAAAAAATGTACCAGTAAAACATTATTGATGCCAACATTTAAAGGGTGCATTGACTGCACGTTAACAGGAAATGACAATATTGAATTACTGACAGATTGCGCAAGTAAACTGTATTGACTTAATGAACGACTCTACTCTAATGCATTCACAGCAGAAGATTTTGGACAGCATCTCAATCGCTTATAAAGCCACATCCAAAGTAAATGAAAGTGATAAAAGAGATATCTGTATAAGCATCTTGAAGGTACACAAAAACGCGTTGCACAAGCAAATGTGTTACAATTTAGCAAGTTTATTCATGTAAAGATAATAGAAAGCTGGAGTCTCTTCATTGTCAAAAGTCCAAAACAAGTATATATTTCTTTCAACTTTTTGTTCGCCAACAAAGTGTCCTAAACTAAAATGTCACAAAAGAGAATAAAGGGCCCATCAGCATGAAAGGAAATCCCAGTTGGCTAATAAAAATGTTCAATTGGTGGTGGCACTATCCGATCTGAAGCAATCACCACAAGATTGAGCATGCTGATCCATTTCTGCATCATCGGAATTTGAGAAGTGATGGTTTTGAATCTGGAGACATGGCAATTGGGAGTTTTGTATCTTAAACAACTCCACTTTCAAGTACAGTTGGTCCTGAATGCAACAGTTGTTTCAATATTACAAACACTCCTACCATGCCTAACGAACAGAAGCATGGTATCTTTGATCAAAGGCAAGGCATGTATGGGCTAATTTTGCTGTCCAAGGAGCTGAGATGATTTAGCTAGAAAGGAAGCTATTGAACATGATTGATCATCGGTTATTATCATGTCAATAAACTGCAAATCACCTCTGGTGTTGACAACAGATTTTCTATACCAGAATGGCATCACAATAACCACTCATAATTCTCTGTAAGCTGGTACAATCTTGAGTAACCTGGCAAGCTCATAAGACTTGAAATCCTTCCCATAACATAAGCTGAGATCCAAAGGTGTATTCCCATCCTTAACATGACAGAGATTGAATTGATTTCATCAATGCCACTCGGAGGAAATTGATTAATGCCACGAATGTAAAGGAACTGATGAATATATTGATTCAATTCAATCTTTTACAAAAACTCATCAGGAAAGATCTGAAGTTTAAGCTTGAGAAGTCCACAGTATTATCAATGTGGGAATAAGGCAACTAGTATAAACACTACAGGCAGTTAAGTTGCTTCACAGTGCATGCATGAGTCTTTGAGATTCTTTTAGGAAAAAAGGGACAGTGGGAAAAAAGGGACAGTGGGCAGTGACATGTCATAGATTTTTTATGATAGTGAAGGAGAAGGGCATGTGCTCATGAGCGTGCTGTGATTCGTATTCATTTTCCGAGGGCCCAGGGGGTTGGGGTGGGGGGGGAGTGAAAAATGGCGAGGTTCATCAACAAAAGGAGATAAGAGTTTTGCTTAAGAAATGCCATGGGCTTGTTAGACATTCCACTTAAGTGTGGTCTATAAGGTGTTTCTACTTTCTCCAACTTAAAATTCTTTTGAATGATTTGTCAGGTTACTTGAATTTTGATGAGTGGGTATTCCTTTCGTAAGACAACAAAGACAAAAGATGTCTTAGTTTTCCAAACTTGAAGTGGCCTACTTGTAATTTAGTCAAGCCTCAAAGTATCCAGATGTGATCACCTAAAATTATGATGACACGCATAGACAAACTAGAAACAAAAAACCAAATTGTATTAAGCCCTTAGATGTGCATAAATTATGCTTTTACCATATTTCTCCTTGTCTTGTCTGCACCATTTACTAGTAAGATTTTCGCTATGTCTCTGTTTCTAGTTTGCATGGCAATGTGTAGCGCAGTCCACCCTTCCTGAAATGTGCATGTAAGAGAGAGAGAGAGAGAGATTAAATAACTAAAACTCGGAAAGAAGGTCAATGATTAACACTGTATGCTCACATTATCAGCAGCATTCACATCAACATTTTGCTTGATCAATAACTTGACAGTTTGCATTGCTCCTACTTGAACTGCATAGTGAAGGGGTGTAACTCCATCCTAATGACACGATAAACATATATCCGTCATGCATGTTTAAAGTTTTTTCAATTCAGAAAAGGAAAAAAGGAAGTGGCCAGTAAATTGGAATAAGCTTCTCACCAAATCTCTAAGATGAGGGTTTGCACCTCTCCTGAGAAGGTGACTTATAACTGCCTCCTTTTTGCCAATAATTGCATGATGTAGGGCAGTAAGACCATCCTGCTCACAAAAGTGATTCAGGTGACTTCTCAATCATTATCGGGCTAATACCAATTCTACAAACAGATTTCAAGAACTCCACCACTTCAAGGTTATAGACAGATACATTACCTTATCAACCTGGTCAACATCAAGCCCATTTTCAAGAAGTCTATCCATAAACTTTATCTGCCCAGCCAGCGCAAAAGTATGAAAAGGTTTCCATTTTACCTGGATGATAGTTCAAAGTAATCAAAACATGAAACAGAGTTAGTTTCCAAGTCAGCACGATCAAAACTCTTGAATAAATGAACACTGACCCAACTCCCTGTACTACAGGATGTTGTCTAATATCGACAAGCAGTAAAAGGAAACATCAATTTTATACAGCTTATTATTTGTTAAAAAAGATGGCAAGCATTTCATTGAAAAACAAACCCAGTGGTGAAAAGAGGCTGCTCAAGAAATTTAAAACTCACAGTTGATATTTTCTCCAAATAAGGAGTTTCATTCGTTTGCAGAATTGCTCTTTCTTCTGGGCTCAAAAGCTGTTCAACCTCTGCAAGGAACAGGATAGCTAGTTATAGCAAATTCTTTTACTTAACAATCAATGGTGCTGGAAGTGTTGGTGAAGCCTCAAACTACATGAAAGAAAATTCAAATATCCAGAATAATCTGATAGCGCAAGAGGCCAAAATACAATAAGCGCAGCAACAAGAAAATAGAAGACCAACCCATTTGAAGTGCAACATAACTCAAAAAAAAAAAAAATCGAAAAGTTAAGACTATAGATGCCAACAAAGAACTCATAATAAAGATTTGTTAGTCAGAAATGTATAGAATCATTACCCAAGACATATTCTAAAAGCAACTTCTTCATTTCAGCCCAGTTTGCTACATAATTATACATACAAGAAACTCGCCAAAAACCAAAAAAATAAAAGCATTACCCTTTACAAAATCTTCTTCCTCCTTGCTCTCAGACAAGTGATCGGCAACTTCAACGAGACGTGCAGCGCCATTCTCCGGTTCCCAATCACTCTCAAAATCCAAGTCATTCTCCTCCTCTTCCTCCTCTTCGCTCTCCTCATCATATTCACTGCCACTACCATCATCTGGATCCTCCCAACGCCCTCGTCGACTTGCCACTGAATAAACCCCCTCTGAATTAGCAAAACAACAAAAAATTCTTCCTCCATCATTCCTCCGACGAAAAAAATCCGGGCCCCTGCTCTTTCCTTTGGGCCAACTGATTACTTTTCTGAAATTAAGCCTGCTACTAGAAACTGGTTCAAGAATTGGAGTAACAAAACACAAATTTGAACCCATTTGTCTCCAACAAAATTCTAGGCTGCCCAGTGGAGCCATCATCTTCTAGCTTTTCAACTCCTCAGCTGGAATTCTAGAATATAATACAACCAAACGATATCTAAAACCCAAAAAAAGAAAAAGAAAATCAGTATAGGATGCAAAAATGCTAAAAAAACGAAAAAAGGAAAAAGAAAAAGCCCAACACGATTTTGCCAATAACAATAGGAAAAATCAAGAAAGTTGGGAGTTGAATTAAACGACGTAGGGCTGTGTTGAATAAAT